CTTAATTGCTTACTGAATCAAATTTTGATATGTTAATCTCGTTTCAAAATATTTGAAATATGCCACATTTTCAAAACATCTGTTTCCTATCTTTATGTCATCATTTTGCCCTGCATTATGGTGATGAGGCAGCGACATAGTTTTATCTGAGTTTACTTCTAGGCCAACATCCTTATTAGCATCAATTAAAGTCTGTTTGTTTCTCTTTATGACTGCCTCTGTGGTCTAGTGGTCATCGTGCCTGGCTACTGATCCAGGGGTCCAGGTTCGATTCTTGGTACTACCAGTTTCTTTCTGAGAAGTAGTGGGTCTGGAATGGGGTCCACTGAGCCTCGCGATGATAATTGAGGAGCTATTTTAAGGTCTAGAAAACCGACATTAACAGCCGTGGGGATTCGTTGTGCTGACCAAACGACACCCTCTATCCGCAAAAGTTGGCACTAAACTTCGCCGACAAGTGGCGGTCACTCGCTCGCTCGGTCAGTCAGTATAGTTCACTTGTGGACTAAAATCACGGTTTTATTTTTTTTCTCTATATGGTATCTCTATTACTCTTTCAGATGCTAGAATTGTTGGCTTTGAGAGAGACCATATGTTTTTTATTTATCCTGCTGTAGGTTTTACTTTTGTGACTAGTGTTTGGTAAATTTATTTTCCAATATATACCTACATCTCACAAGTGGTCACTATTTATTAACACCTTATAACCCATAATTGAATATTGCTACTGCGAAATTGATAATACAGTTTTGATTTTCAGATTCGAGTAAAGCCTGATAAGACAGGGGTGGTGACAGATGGCGTTAAACATTCGATGAATCCGTTTGATGAGATAGCTGTAGAGGAGGCTGTGAGGCTGAAAGAAAAGAAGATAGCACAAGAGATTGTTGCTGTGTCTTGTGGACCGGCACAATCTCAGGTTAGAATATGTTTTATCATAAAGATGTTAAGTTGTACTTTCATCTTTTATCTTTTCATCTCTTTCCTTTTTCATCATTTATGTCTGTTAACTCGCACACTTTATCACTGTGAGTTCATGCTTTGTGTTGTTTTCCAAAATTCATGAATTAAAATTCTTGTGATTTGTTACTGACAAATATGAAACAGTAACTGTAGTCACTAACACTTAACCTGTTTTCATCTCATTTGCGCCGTTTTGTTAATTGTTGCTTATTCACCAGTGGACTGTTATTTAATGACTGTTGATCATCAGAGCTTTTGTATGTTATGTTAAGAAGGTAAAGCTGTCCCTGTAACAGGCCATGGAGGCCTGTAGGGTTGTGAGACGTTGAGGCTCCCACATTTTCTAGACAATAGACTCACAGATGGCAGTGAGATAGCCTTACTCGCCAGCTGCCCATGTGACTACTTTCTTTGCGGATTTCTTAAGGAAAAGATTTTTCCGAAAAAGCCGCAAAAAATAATGGAATTGAGAGCACTAATCATTCAAGCCTGCCAATGATATAACTGAGGACATGTGCCATTGAGTAATGAACAACATCACAGTTCATGTTGAAGTTGCCAGACGTAATGGTGGTCATCTTGAACACTTGATTCACGAGGATAAATCCATGTGCAATGGTCTTCCTCTCTGTATGTTAGTTTCTAGTATTATAATGGAAATAAAGATTCTATTAATAGATGGAATACTGGATCATTTTATGTGCCACTTTGTATGTTAAAGTAGGCCACACTTCTTTTTTATTCTTTCAGTATCGAAGACTCTCAAATGGTAGTACAATGAATTGGAATGAATTTGGAAGAAGAAATAATGTCTTAATTGAGATACTATATGACATTTTCTAAAATGACCTGAGGGAAGCCTTGAAATACCCAAGTCATGATAGCTGATGTACTAGCTGAAATTCAGACTGAGGACACCCTGAATATGAGTTTAGAGTTTTACTGCCAGGCAAACATGTTCAGCATCATACATTATTGAAAGCATCCCTAAAGGACTGAAGAAATGGCCAGTTTTGTGAAATAAGCAATCAGTTACTAAGATTTCTGTTTATGAGTGGAATTTGGAGTGTAATATGTAATGTGTTATACAGGAAACCCTTCGAACTGCTCTGGCTATGGGAGTGGATCGAGGAATTCATGTAGAAGTCTCAGGACCTGAATATGACACTCTGCAGCCAATACATGTGTCCAAGATATTGGCAAAGTTGGCACAGGATGAGAAAGCCGACATTGTTATTGTTGGAAAACAGGTGAATGAACAATTACTTCAGTGTTTTATAATTTCATTAACATATTCACTGCCAGACACATTCAGGTCATGGTTCTTGTGAGACTTGTTACCATTCCTTACTACAGCATGCCACATTTGTATGTGTTCGTTCATTTAATTCTCATTTTCACCAATGTATATCTGTATGACACTTTAATTATCAGAGGTCATAAGCAAAAAGCTGAACTGTTGATCTTTGTATTAGGCTTTGGTATTAATGGGGTCAAAACTTTGAATGCTGCACTCAGAGATTTAGTTGTGGAAAAAATATGTTAGTACTTCAGAGGTCATGGCATATGTTACTTGGCTACAGATTCAACAGTTGTGGCTTCTTTAATTGCAGGTGTAAGAATTTTTATTTTTGACACCTTGTTCATAACACTCTGAGGGACCACCTAACATCCTGTCTAGTGGTTACTGGGGTTCTTTCCCAAAGTTCCAAATGATCAGAGCTTGAAGGTAATTAGTTATTGGAGAGGGTGGGTTTCCCCATGCACTGAGACCTGTATTGGTCCATTGTGCTTCCCTCTATGATTTCTACCAGTCTCTGTATCCTACCGGTACTGGTGCTTACCATCAGTCCCGCCCAGCCAGCGAGACCGGCTCTACTAGCTGAGAGGTATCTATAATGCTTCCCCCATCTACCAGAGGTATTAGAGACTGCTGTTGGGCGGGAAACGTCCGTTAATTTGGCTCAGTGACCTCCTTTGGAGATATGAGGTTCTTTTANTTTACGTGCCGTAAAGCTATGACACGGGACCCACGGCTTAAAGTCCCTCCTGGAGGACTTGTTCCCTGAATTTTTCTGCCCTTAAAAATTCGACGACCTCCGCCGGGTATTTGAACCCGCGTATTACGAGTCATGAGGTGGGAACGTTACCTCTAGACTACGGAGGCCGCTTAATTAGTTATCTTTCTCAAGAGTCAATCACAACACCATTTATATGCCCTCCTGGTGTGGTTCTTAGACACGAGGGCATCCTTACATTTTCATACTAATTGCAGAATATTACATATTATGAAAAGTGAAGTTATTCTTGTGCTTAACTCATTGAGCACTACGCTGTGAAGACGTATAGGAGAGTGGATGTATAGATCCACACATTCTTGACCTCAGCACTAGTTGGAGGTGAGTGGTCAGCTTCATACCCCGGCCACTTTACCACTGGAGAAAGAGCCCCTGGTACCCATTGGATAGGAGGCTGGGTGGACCCCAGAGCTAGTCTGGACTATGTGGAGAAGAGGAAATTCGTGACCCTACCGGGGCTTGAACTCCAACGCCTCAGTTGTTCAACCCGTAGCCAGTCATTATACCAACTACACTTTCCCTTCTCCTGTATTACATACTGTAGTAAATGGAAACCTGACAATTTGCACTTAGCAACTATATAGTTAGGGACAAGTCATTAATTATACAGCTGTCTCTGATTTTTCAGGCAATTGATGATGACTCCAATCAGACAGCTCAGATGACTGCTGCACTATTGGATTGGCCCCAGGCAACCTTTGCCTCAAAGGTAAGTGTTGTTAAGATATGACTGGTTTTATTATTTTAGCCATATGTAAACATTTTCCCCTTTTATCTCAGATTCAGTCTTGGATCTGACATCAACTTGGAAGTTTTTTCCCCTCATATTCCTGATTCCTTATTCAAGAATGTCACTGTGACATTTACAGGTAATTTTTCTTCTTTAATTGGCTGTGGTGACATACAAACTGGAGTGCAGGTCTAGTCTGATGGGATAGATATACGACATTCTATGCAAAAAGTCCTAAGTTCAAGACCAGCCAGAATCTTTTCAGACTTTTCTCCATGTTTTTCCCTTCTTGACAAATTCAGAAGTATATGTATTTGAAGAGGACCAACATTCTGTCATGTTTGGATCCCATGTCAAGCTGCAGGTGCCCTCTGCTCGCTATCATATTTACTGTCACTCTGTAACTGGGAGTAAAATGGAAGTTCTTTTACTGTTCTACTCCCATAAAAGTCTGGATTCTTACCTTCATTTTTAGCATGTGATCAGAGGACAGGTAGCGGCTCTGGTCTAGAAAACCGAAATTAACAGCCATGGGGATCTGTTGCGCTGACCATGTGACACTCTATCTGCTTAAGTTGGCACTAACTTTGCCGACAAGTGGTGGTTTTTTATTATTATTTTTATTATTTCTAGTGTGGTGGGACTAAGTCCCTTTTACCGCGGCCAGGTCTGGCCTATTGTGCCAGCCCCAGAAGATAGATGAGGGTGATTGTGGAGCAATTTGTGGAATGAAGATTGGCAGGGGAAACCGAAGTACTCGGAGAAAACCTGCCCCAGCTCCATTTTGTCCACCACAAATCCCACTTGACCAGACCCGGGATCGAACCCGGGCCACCGTGATGGGAAGCCAGCGACTAACCATTTGAGCTATGGCGCGGCCTCGACAAGCTGTGGTTGCTCGGGCAGTATAGTTCGCTTGAGGACTAAAACCACAGAGTTTGTTTGTTTTTGTTTGAGCAGAGGACAGGACACTCAAAGACCATATCTGGAGTTATAAAACCATAATGTAACAACACAACAGGATCAAATGCATTGGTTCTCAACCAAAATTTGCTTGGGTCATATTTGTGAATAGAATTTTTGCCATGGCTTCAGTGAGTATAAATATTTTGGTCTCGCTGTTCCAATTATGTAGGAAATTCCAGCCATTAAATGTGAAAGTTACTCAGGTTCTAGCATGCAAGGTGGGGATCCCAAGATTGGAATAGTAGTTGTTGACACCTTAAATCTATTTTACTTCTTAACTTTTTAGATATAACTATGTTGGGACCACTATTATTTATTATTTACATTTTTTTTTCCCATTTTCCTTAAAGAAAAACGAATCAAATTCCTTAAAGAAATTAGCTCAACCTATATTATTTGTGGATGACACAAGTATTATATCTAATTCGAGTCCTGAAGAATTTAGAAGTAATATTATTTCAGTTTTTAATGAAACAATGACATGGTGTAGTATGAACTTTTTAACTCTAAATTGTGATAAAACAAATTTCTTACAGTTCTTTTTAAAGAAGCATCATCATCATCATCAGTAATCTGTCAAGATGACAGGTCCACAGTCTCTTTCAAAACAATTCCTCCAATTAATGCGATCTAGAGCTTTCTCCTTCAAATGACAGTATCCTCTTCTGTCCCCAAGGTCATCCAGCATCTTCTTATGTCTTCTTCCTCGTCTTCTTGTCACTTCTATCCGCCCATCTATCTTTCCTTCGATAGCTTCTTTTAGAAGGCAGTTTCTGCGTAAAACATGACCAATCCAATTAGCCTTCCATTTTCTTATTTCATGTAGGATATTCCTCTGCTCACTGACTCTAATTAACACTTCTTCATTTCTCACATAATCGGTCCAACTGATCTTCTCCATCCTTCTCCAACACCACATTTCGAAACTTTCCAGATGTTTCTGATCTACTGCCCTAAGTGTCCATGTTTCAGCCCCATACAGAGCTATGCTCCAAATGTAGCATTTCACTAGTTTCTTCCTCAAATTTAAGTCCAATTTGCTGGTAAAAAAAATCTTCTTCTTGCTAAATGCAGCTTTTGCCATGGCAATCCTGGATTTAATTTCACAAGTACACCTTCCATCATCTGTTAACAAGCTACCCAAATATTTAAAACATTTCACATTCTCCAGTTGTTTTTGGTCTATATTTATTGTGACTGGGGTTGGTTGCCTCGAAATTTTCATTACTTTTGTTTTCTCCACATTCATTTCCATGCCATAGCACCTTCCAATTTCAATTAGTCTATCAATCATGCCCTGTAGCACAATAGAGAAATAGAAATTCAAATTACATCAACCAACTCATTAATTACTAACATCAATTGCTCTAAATTTTGGGAAAAAAATATTGGAAGAATCATATTACCGTGTTATCATTAAGATTAAATATGGCCTGTTTTGCAATAAGGGTACTAAAGCCCTTTATGTCATTAGATCCAATGAAGATGATTTACTACGCTTTTGCACATTCAATACTGAAGTATGGCATTATCTTTTGGGGTAATGCCCCTTTTAGTAAGAACATTTTTAAAATACAAAAAAGAATCATAAGAATTATGTCTGGATCAGGAAAATATGATTCTTGTAGGGAATTGTTTAAAAAGTTACAAATATTGCCACTCCAATCTGAATATATTTTTTCTTNCTTTTCGTTATTAAGAATAACAATTACTTTACATCTAACACGGATAGTCATGATATTAATACCCACTATAATTATAATTTATGCTTACCCTCTACAAATTTATCAGTATTACAAAAAGGAATGCTGTTCTCTGGAAGCAAGATTTATAATCACATACCTTTGAATATTAAATTGTTTTCTAAAGACGTTAAGCAGTTTAAATTTTTATTGAGAAGCTATCCCACTGAACTGCATTTTATAGCATTGATGAATTTTACAAAACAACGTCTCAGTGAATACCTTTACATTATTTAGTTAATAGTTGTAATTTACTTTTGTTATCATATTTGTATTAATTCTATGTAAAATTGTTTCAGATGGCTACTGTAAGATTTATGATATGTATATGAGATTTACTGTTATACTATTGTTTTATATTTATAATGACAGTTTCTATATCCTATAGGTCATTTGACCTTGTATGGATTAATGGAATGTAATTAAATAATAATAATATGGTTAAAAAAGGAAAAATATTGAAAGTCACATATTAGTTTCTTCATGCCCATCTGCACATAACAATGCCTAACCTGTGAGACATATCTGAAACTTGGTGTGGTAGAGCTACACTGAATTTTATTGACCCATTTTTGGTTTTGGTACAGTTCTTTTTAAGGACCATTTTACCTTATGGATGAAACTTCATACACGAGTTCATTTAATTCGTTTTAGGCCCACTTTACTTAAGGGTGTATATGTTATGGGGTGCATCTCACTAAGTATTCATCTGCCATAATGGTACCTTGTCTATAACTTGTATGTATGCATAAAATATACCCACTGTGTCAAGTCTGTTAAGTGTACATCACTGAAAACATCCAAGTTGCTGCACTCTCCCCACCGTTGAGCAAATGACCAAATACATGATGCATGACTTTCTGTTCAATCACATACAAGGTGTGTTCAGAAATTTCCCAAAATTTGTGTATAAATAATATCTTTATTTACTTAGAGCTTATTGAATATTATCACCTTCAAAACATTCCCCTAGCACTGCAGAGCACCTTTTCCAACGCTTTTTTCATTTTTGGAAGCACTCTTTGAAGGATGTTTGTGGTGTCATCTTCAAGTTATCGTATTAATGGTGTTTTCCACTGTCTGAAATCTCCCTCCTTTAAGGGTAACTTTTAGTGTAGGGAATAAACAAAAGTTTGGAGGGGAGAAGTCAGGTGAACAGGGGGATTTTGGAAGGGTAAGAATTTAATGTTTTGCCATGAATTGTCTAATTGACAGTGCTGTATGATCAGGTGCATTATTGTGGTCTTTCTTATAAGTACTGTTTAGTTTGTATTAGTCAGATAATTCTAATGTAACCTGTAGCACTACTTGGTAAAATAGGTATAGAATATCTTTAGTTTAAGTAAACTGTTTAGTGCGGCATTGCATACATTTGACCCAAAGTACAAAAAACAAGTGGTGATTAAGTCATTTTATCTGTTATGGAAAATAAGAAATTTCTATGATGTGAGAGCTGAAGTTATGATTATGCTGGTTTTTCACAAACAAGGGTAAAGTTTTGGTGTTAGTGAGTCAGTTTGTATATTACTGGTCTTATGGATTTTCATTACATTCATGTATGCTTCTGTGTGTTGACTCCAGATAGAGAAACAGAATGGTGAGCTACAAGTTACAAGGGAGATTGATGGAGGTTTGGAGACAATAAAGGTGAAGTTACCAGCAGTTGTCAGTGCAGACTTAAGACTTAATGAACCCAGATATGCTACACTTCCAAACATTATGGTGAGTAATATTTCTTGGGAATATGTTGAATGCTGGTTTAGAGTGCTGGCAAGTGTATTGCTGACATTTGAATTATTTGCAGAAAGCAAAGAAGAAACCTATAAAAAAAGTAAGTCCGAAAGACTTGGGTGTGGATACTGCTGCTCGTATTGAAGTGCTGAGTGTTGAGGATCCTCCAACTCGACAGGCTGGCGTCATCTTGCCTGATGTTGATCAGCTGATTGTCAAACTAAAGGAAGGAGGACATGTGCAATAGACTTAATTGTGGTCAGGTAAGAAAAGATGGTTCTTTATATACAGTACATTTAAGAGACATATACAGTGGAACCCCAGTTTTCCTCAGTTTAAGGTTTACCCTCAGCATTCAACTTCACTGGTCCCAAGTCAGTAATTTTTCTTCCATTTAAGATTTTCTTGTGTATTCAAATTTATATCTCCTGAAAGAAGCCTGAAATTGGGGTGTCACTGTGTCCTGAAGTGTTCAGTCAGTGTTTGTTGTGGTTAATACACTGTAAATGTTTGACTCAAAATATCTTTCTAGTCCTTGCCACTGGCACTTTCCATACCAGTTATGCATATAAATCTTTATGTGGAATCTGAAGAACCTCCTCTTGCAAAGGAATCTTCCCCTTTCTGCTTAGTTGGCAAAGTGAGCAACACAGCCCCATCATGTCTCATGGTACAGTACACCACACACCACAGCAGGTACAAGTTGAATAGCACAGTCACTTGACCTGTTTGTGTGCCCTGGCCAACTTCTTCACCTACTTTGGGTATGATTCCTGCACAATATCCTCTTGTGTTTTGACATAACATTTGTGCAACGTGTGAACTTTCATATGTTCAAAACTTGATAACAGTTGCCTGTTGCTGGTATTTCTTTCCTCCTGCCTGTACTATACAGCTGTTTATACTAATGGGTCGTTCAATCAAGGTTTGACTGGTCGTCGCATCATCTGTGAAACCCGTTTTTTACCTACCTTCTCCATAGTTCTAACAATTTATATGGCCAAACTCTGTGTCATACTGAGCTGTTCTACTCATTACCTACTCACATACCACACTGTGGTTGGCTGGCTGCCTCCTTTGCGGCCCCAAACTTCAGTGTCTTGATAAGGGCCTTGTCCAGCATCCTTTCAACAGTCATGAGGAGAGGAAACTTCACCTCTTGGTCCCTTATCCTGTCACAAAATGCATGAGCTCTCTCTATAAAACTACATTATGTCATAACCAAAAAGACCACAGTCTTAATTTCCACAACCATGAAAAACTGTGCTAACATCTAGTTAGTTAGTTATTTAGAGAGGGTGGGTTTCCCCATGCACCGCGACCAGTTTGATCTATTGTGCTTCCCTCTATGATATTCTACCAGTCTCTATACCCTACCGATAAATGGTGCGTACCATCAGTCCCACCGAGCAAGCGAGTTCGGCCACTTGCTTAGTGGTGTCTATAATGCTTCCCCCCCTCTGTCAAAGGCCTTAGAGACTATTGTTGGGCGGGAAACGTCCTGAAATTTGGCTCAGTGATCCCCTTTGGGGATATGAGGTTCTTTTACGTGCCGTAAAGTTACGACATGGGACACAGCTTAAAATCCCTCCCGGAGGACTTGTTCCCTGAATTTTTCCGCCCTTAAAAATTCGACGACATCCGCCGGGTATTTGAGCCCGCGTACCACGAGTCATGAGGTGGGAACATTACCTCTAGACTACGGAGGCCGCTATGCTAACATCTAACAGTAGATCTTACAAAACGTTCTAGTGGTGATTATGAAAGTTATTCTAATTCTAATTTCATTTAACAGGCTGAAGGTTTTGAGAACAGAAGGGGTAACTTCATAATCATTAATCCATTGTGACAAGGAATCTTGAACAGTAAGTGTTATAAACATTTATATGTATTCTTTATACCAATATTTGTCTGTTGTTGGTGCAGTTGCCATAAATGCCATTGTTACTTTATATTGTATATTATTGTTGAATATAATGGATATGCATTTAAGAGTACCTTTTTTATTAGAAGTGGATACCATACAAATTATTATTTCTAGAAGTACCAGTTTCCATTACTAAGGTCCTTAGCAGATGTCAGCGAGAGGAATTTATGTATTACAGTCACTTTCCAACACTTTCATAAGTGTAAAGATGTTACCAACCAACAGTGCACATTTGATATTGTATGGTATAGGCTGATACACAGCAGCTGTACAATCCAGTTGATGACATTTCAGAGACTGTGAGATAATTCATCATGAAAAGAATATGCCCATAATTGTTTCAGAAACATGCTTAGAACTTCATTTTGGAAATTAATAAAAATATTATGCATATTGGAACTTGGCACAGAAAACTAATCGTATCATGCAGGAATAAGGGATTTAAATCACTCTTAAATCAGGGCTGGTGGCCAGGTGTTGACTATTAATGATATTAGCATTGAAAAATGTTTGATATCTTTGGCACTATGCTAGGGGTACGTGGTAGCGTAGTGGTTAAGGTACTATGCTACAAGCCGGAAGGTCACGGGTTCAAGTCCCAATGAGGTCATTGGATTTTTTTCAATTGACCTAATCCTTCCGGCCGCACTAGGCCCTGGGGTTTACTCAGCCTCTAACAGAAATGAGTACCAGGAATTAATTAAATAATTTTCCTGGGGAGTGAAGTGCGGCTGACAACCTTACCACCATCTTTGGGCCGATTGTCAAGGTAATGTGGGACCTATGGGCCTTCACCGCCTGTTACAGGGATAGCTTTACTTTTTTTTTTTACTTTACTAGTGGTAATTATGTGCAGAAAAAGTTCCTCCATGAGAGCTCTTCTTGAGATGGTCATACTAAATCGATTGTTAGTCAAGAAATTTCCCACCTTTTGTGAAAACCAGAGGTTCATGACCGTTCATGGCCAGTTGAATCCAGTCAGTGCACTTGGCTCTCACAGATAATTCTTTTAGTATTCCTTTTAATCTTATCCTTTCTTTTACACCTATGTTTCCACAATTTATGGAACATGGGACAGAGTCATTACATTTTATAATTACTCATTTATAGTTCCTCATAGTTTTTTCATAATAAATTAAACATCTGAGTGAAAGTAGATCTCATAAATTCTTCCACAAATTTCTTGTTGAAAAACGCTGTTAACTTTGAACCTTCACTGGGACAGAGGCTATCCTGAATGAGGGGTTTGATGGTTTTCTTCATCCTCACCAGGCAAATATTATAGAACCTCCACTAAACCATGACCATTTCCTTCCAAATCTTTTTCAATTCACTCTTCACAAATCATCCTATCTTTCTGTGCTATATAATGTGGGATACTGATGGTGTTTAACCCCCCCCCCCCAAAAAAAAAAACCAAGGAAACCTGGCGAATATACTACCCATGCCTGTCAACTTTTCAGGAAGTACATAATTATAACCTCAGCTGGAGTGGATTCTTCTAACAAAATTTTATGTTTTCTCTCAGCCCCACCACGTGAATACTAGGATAGCATGTTAGGTAGGCCTTGACCACTTCTACATCTGTCTTGATACCATAATTATGCATGCATCTTTCATTTTCTGCACTAGGTAGCTTCTGCAATTATATTAAGTTATAAAAAGGACAAATATTGCAGTCTTCATTAGATGAATTTCACCAAAATGCCATGTATAGGACACTATTTTATTCTGACTGAAAATATGTCACAGATCCACATATGTTCTGTATTTTTAAGCTTTAAAATTACAACCAATAAAAACGATTACAAAGCATAATTTACAGAAATGTTTAATATAATACATACAATATGTACAAAACCAATATTTACCATATTTACCTAACTATAAGACAACTTCCTCTCCAATGGGAAAATATATATTATGGCTTATTTTTTTATAAAAATCATATGTACAGTTTTCCTTCATACATTTAATGAATGATGAAAATTCAAACAATGATTGCTTTGGAAACATTTCCAGTGCAACCCCCTGAACACTAAACTGGGGAAATTATTAAATATGGGAAACTTAACGCTTTGACTAATATCTTTGAATCACTGAATCTGAACATCAAATATGGGAAAACATTAAATTGGGGAATATTAAATGGGCGTTCCACACTGTGTACACAGTTTTGTAGGTTGCCACAGTTGCTACTGATTTTGTTTTTCCAGAAACTAATGAACTGTGTTAATTCATCAGTATAAGGTGTTCAGTTTTTAATGAAAATAAAAATAAAATAGTTGTTTCATAGCAGGGTAAATGAGGTAATTTAGGTTCAAATCAAGAACAATGTTGAATCTTTGGGTTCAGAAATCAGTCTCCATAAATCATAAAATTGAGCAGTGAACATTGACTTAGCTTGGAACTCTGTGAACAGAATATCTTTCTTAATTGAGCTGTAGGTTGCAGTATACAGTATATCCATATTTGATCCCAGGTGTTTAGATTTGGGCTATATTAACCTTAATTTCTGGGAGGGGAAAGGTTATAATTGTTAAATTCCATTACATCAACAGAAACAGAACTTGCTTTGCATGTGCTTATGACCATATGAACAAAATAGACATTCTAAATATCATGGGATTCATATGAATGTGTTAGGGAAAGTCTGTGTTTGTTTGATGGTGATAACTACTAATAAACTATGTTAACTAGGTATGTTAAATTTTGTATGGAAATAGATCATAAGCATATCTACAAATGTGCTATCATATACAGGCATGGTGCTGGTGTGAAACCTTGAGATTATGTCTGGGAACAGTGAATATGGTCATGATCTGTACTATTGTCCACAAACCTACATTGCTATTACATTGAATGCATACCAGTAACAAGAAATAAGTAACTGCAGTGAATTTAAAACATTAATGACATTTAACTCTGTGAAAATGGACATTTTTTCACAATAATGAAATGGAAAATAGCATTTACATCTTACATCCTGTTTACAAATGTACCCTGAAGGCACATTCTGCAAGCATTAGAATTAAGGCAAAAACACAGTTTAGCATATTGTCCTTCACTGCAAAGAAAATAATATATTTCTGCAGCTAAGTACTTAGATGTGATATAACCCCGACAGCGGTAATCTTTCACATAGTATTGTGGGTTGCTTTTGACATAGGCATCTGTATGGGCATTGAATATTATAAGAATTTAGTCATTCTGGTTGGAAATCATTTATAAGCATTTCCCATATCTGTGCACAGTAAAACCCAATTTTCATGAGGTGTGTTCTTTTTACAGAATTCCATAACTGTAGAGTTCATGGGAATAGTAGTATGCCTTTGGCAGGTGACCATTCATTCAAATTGCTGTGCATCAGAATTATGGTATACACCATTCTGAGCAATCATAATTTATGGCTATTGTTGTATTCTGGTCAAATCTTAATACCAGAACCACCAAATAAGGAAAACAGAACTGACATAATGCCCCAGCCATATATTATTTGAAGCTTTCATGATGACAGTGTGCACTGGAGTATTCTCGGGTGATCAGCTTTGTCAGTGTAGAGTTGGTGAACAGCATTTCAGAGGCTGTCTTGGGTGGTACAGATGACAACATTCTATATAAATATTGTGTGCAAAAACAACACACATTACATCAACTTCTGCAAATGGATACAGAGAGAGTCTCCGAAAGATTGAACACCAAATCACTGACACAACTGATCACCAAAGAACACTTCATTGTTCATCACTCACCTTTCTGATATTATAGAATACATTATATACATGACCAAACGAACAAAAGAACACTGAACAATGATTTAATAACCTGGGAATAGGGTTTTAAATTTCCCAGAATTCAGGGGTGTTGGCCATACTTTAATTTAAGAAATGAAATTGACAAAGGTGAGAACACAAAACAATTTCTTTCTTGAAAATGAGAGGTGAGAACAGTTCAAGTCTATCCACCTCATGATGTTTTTGGAAAGGCTACCGTTATGGACACCATTTAACAAGGTTTACACAAGTGCTAGGTAGTACAGTTTTGCATTTTGTGGTCCTCCCTTTCCCCTTACTTCAGTCTTGTTTCCTTTCTCCTGTCTGATTCTAATTTCATTTCCCAATAGTCCATTAAAATACACTACACATAATTCTGTATTGCAGCATCTTGTTGTTTCTGGTTTGAGCGCAACTCTTATATTGTTGTGCTGTTTTTTTACTGAACCAGTTAACATGGTCTCTATGTATATTGGGGGGTATGCAGTAGCGTAGTTGGTTGAGGCAGTATGCTACAAGCCGGAAGGTCACGGGTTCAAGTCCCGATGAGGCAGTTGGATTTCTTTCAAGTGACCTAATCCTTCTGGCCGCACTATGTCCCTGGGATCGACTCAGCCTCTAATAGAAATGAGTACCAGAAATAATTTGAATAATTTTACTGGGGAGTAAATCGCGGCTGGCACGTAAGGCTTACAACCTTACCACCATCTTTGAGCTGACTGTCTAGATATTGTGGGACCTGCAACGTCTCACAACCCTATGGGCCTTCAAGGCCTGTTACAGGGATAGCTCTACCTTTTCGTATTTGTATTATGAGAGGGGGTGGGTTTCCTCATGCACTTAGACCAGTTATTGGTCCATTGTGCATCGCCCTTTAATTTCTACTGTCGCCATACCCTACCGGTAACGGTGCGTGCCATCAACCCCTGTAGAGCCAACAAGGTCAGCCCCCAGTACCTTGATGCTTCCCCCATCCACCAGAGGCATTGGAGACTACTTGGGCGGGAAAGGGCCTGTAATTTAGCTCATAGGTCTCCTAGAGACACGAGGTTCTTTTACATGCCATAAATCTATGACATGGGACACACGGCTTAAAGTCCCTCCCGGAGGACTCGTTCCCTGAATTTTTCCGCCCTTAAAAATTCCATGACCTCCGCCGGGTTTGAACCCGTGTACCTTGAGTCATGAGGTGGGAACGTTACCCCTAGACTATGGAAGCCGCTAGCTATACCTTTTACTTTACTCTGTGTACTTTAATGCTGTACAGATTGTTTCAGCCAACACATGGCCATCATCAGGTATGTCTATATGCTGCTGTGGGTTGGTGCATTGTACTGTTCATGGCACTTGTAAGTGCAATTAAAATTCAGTTACAAACATAGCAGAATGAGTGCCCTCTGCTTTATTCGTATCGGTGATTCATTACTCTGGTATCTGAAATGTATGCTACTGTTTGTTGTAAAAGTGCACAAATTGGTGTGCGTTCTGTTTACATTGGTGTTGGTTAATGGATGTGTCTGGGTGTCTAGTTGTGTGAGCCTTACATACATTGTGAGTAGGTGAATGACCTACTACCCGATGATGATCTGAGAATTCAGTTATACCTGTGTCATTGATCTGAAGGTTGCTCTTACTGATTAAACAGATGTAATATCTCTCTGCGATCTTGAGACATTCTACTTCATTCTCATTTTTATGATATCCGTTGTGCTGGTTATGTTTCTACGTGTGTGGCCTGTGTTTAATGTATGAGCAGAATATCTGGTGTTACTATTTGTGATTCATATTGCTTGAATGTGCTCTTTGTGTCCGATGTTGAAAGGCCATTCCATTTGCCAGTTATCTTTGTGGATAAATCACACATTCAGATCGCCACTATAAGAGTTGCATCAAACACTGAAACAACAGTTAAATGGTATGTTACATATATTTTGTCACCTTGGGCTTAATTCTTTTGCGTTTTGTGACAGGAATATTCTGTCTGAAATATATTCCAATACAGAAAGATTTATTATATGAACAGTGCTTTTTTCCCTGTTAAACACCTTCAGTTTATTTGAATTAAAGTATCATGACTTTTCACTGTGTTTTTGAGATCAGAGACTTTTTTTAATTTTGAACATTTGGGCCATAACTTTACATCATACAGGGTCATTCAGTATCTTCCCTTTGTTATGGCTCTTACTGGAACGGTAAGATATACATTAACCTTTTTTGTTGTTTGATGCTAGTTAGCATTCATAACACTTTCAGTATTCAAAGAATTTGTTCATAAACAAACAAAAGTTCAGAAATAGCATCGAGTTATGAACTTTTATGAAAATATTTGTACTAAATGTATGTGACAGTAAATGGGCATGATCATCATTACTGTATGCTTTCCATAATAAATATGCACAACTAGAACTTGGTTCTATAAAGGAACAGCATAATGCAGGATTGGGATATTAACGACTGCTTCCTTGTAAGCACAGCTGATCAAGCAGGGTCAGATTCTATGTTTGTCATGCAGAACATTATGTCAGCAACACTTTCCAGTCAAACCGCATGTTATTGGAATGAGTGACTGGTGGGAATGGGGCGTCCTTTAGTTTCCACTTGTTGTCTCCAACATCTTGAACACAGGCCACACTGCAGTAGGGAATTTTCTGGATGAGACGTGTCATTTCTTGACTTGTGCGAGGTGGACCTCCACAAAGTTGACGTGAGCATACATCCAGTGTTGCAGCATGTCCCACCAATAAAATGTTACCGCCTGGAATTGGTAACAACTATAAACTATACATGTGATGGACAGTTGTTCAAGAAAAACGGAAAAGACTAGAGGAAACAGAATTAGGAGCCAAATAGTAAGAAAAGTTTTACACGTGTCATAGCACAACATGTCACAACATTTTTAAAGTATGCCACAAGACTAAATTGATTCTCCTTGTGTAATTTTTGTTTCTAAGTCATGAAAGTCTGATATTCTGGCTACACTTGTTCAGTTTTAAGAGAACTCTGGAACTACATTCAGAACAGACTAAGAGGAAACAGAAAATGACTTAAGCCAAAGGCTGGGAAGATTAAGCAGACTTTTGCAGTACCTTTACATCATTAGACAGAAGAGGATCGACCAAATGGTGTAAACCAAGGAGAACAAGCCAAATTGAAAGGTCTCACCTCTGTCTGCTGTGCTCTTGATAACACTTTGTGCGAGGTAGAAACTGCGCATGTAAAACTGTTCAGTACTTTCCCGTCGATCGTGAAGCTCCTCTGCACGAACAAATGGTTTATATTCTGGTTTGATGTTGTAGCCTGCTTCCTGGAGCTCCTGTAGTGACATCCAGTCAGGCAATGAATCAGGATACCAGGCAAGCCATTCAAATAAACCTGGCTCTATAGCAATAGGCTGACTTTCTACTTGACCCAAACCTGGAATGTAAGCATAACATCCTTTAAAGGAAAGCAGGCATCATAGCTTCATAATCAGTGAACGCTGCGATTTAGTGGATTGAACATCTCAGGTGTGAAACTTAGCCTGAAGAATACAGGCTCTCTCTGTGTTCTCACTTGCATATATCCTGTTATATAAAGCTGTATAACCAGTGCAGTTGACATTGCCATTAAATAAACAAATAGGAACCAATATGCAATTGAACTTGCTCACTGCTAGGCCTGATGGAAACCAAGACCAGTGCTTACAGAATACTTGTTCTAGTGCAACTGTGTTCATCACATGGGACTGTGGCTTCTAGTATAAAAAGATCCCACATGTTGGGTGAATAATTGTAACACTGTACTAAGAAATTAGTGAAGGACACCATTTGATTCTATTCCACAGTTGGGCAGACCATTAAAATGCAATTTATGCTGAAGACTTTAACTCCATGTTGAGAAGTCAGTTGTAATAGGTTTACATTGCTACTGTACACTGTGCAGTGGCATAACTTAAGACATACAGTATTTAGAAGATCTTCAGGAAGAGGTTGGGATTTTTTAATGGGTACTTAACAACGATTTTAGTATTGAGACAGTATCTTGACAAGTTGTAGGATGACAGATAAGTGGGAAGGGATTTGTAGGAAGCGGTTGTGGTGCCTGGAGGGACTGGGGAAAACCCTCTAGAAGGATAGCTGGTATGCTGACCGAGATATGAACTAAGTGCCTTTTGAATACAAGTCCAGAGCATTACCACTAGGTCAGCCTGTTAGTGAGTTGGGCTCACCCATAGCTATTCTAAGAGTAGCACTAATAATTACTGTTCTTCAGTTTTATTTATTAATACTTAATAACTGAGCGGTACCAATTAAATGCTGTAAATTGTATTGTTATGAGCAGGTCCCAGATTTTGATGACATGTTATCTTTTTTTCCTTGTATCCTATGCGATGCTCTTAAATGTATAAAGCTTGGATATGAGCTGCTGGTTACAGAAATGTAAATTTTATAGGTAATTTTTTGTCATTTTTTCATTTTGGGGGTAATTTTTTGTAAATTTCTGGGCTTTTAAGGGTATTTCTTGTCATTTTAGGGAATTTTTCTTCATATGTTTTCTGAAATGTGAATAATATGGAAGCGAAGTGTTCTTTCTCTTTCTCTACAAAGGCCATAGTATACAATAATAGGTTGTAATCCTGGCCTGTCCTTTCCGTTCATTTTGTGTAAGTGCTGACAATACATATCATAAAATGGTACGGCAATGACTACTCACACTACAGCTCTTTGTACAAAGCAATTTGCTTAGTTACACATATTTCTAGTCGGAATCTCTTGCTTCATATGACGTTCTTCTGTCTTCAGTTCCTCGCCCTTGACCATACAGATAAAGATACAGTTGACGAAAGGTTCTCGGTGAGAAAAGTTCAGGTCTGTGTTGCGCTAGAGTGATTAATTTTATCACGATGCCAAAAGCAAAGCCAACTAAATCGTGTCATTTAAAGCAATTTGTAGCTGAGTTTGGAGATGATATATTTTCAACTGACGGTGACATTTTATACTGCAAGATGTGTGACACAAAAGTAGCGGCAGAAAAAAGATTCACGGTACAACATATCGGCCGCGACAAGCATATACGAGCAGTGCAAATTTCAAACAAAAAGAAACCTGTGCAAATGTTACTGCAACAGTGTTCATCTGGAGGTGGAAATAAGTAATCGGATCTGTGTGATGCTCTGGCATCCGCAAATATTCCGTTTTGGGCTCTGAACAATGGAAAACTGAAGAATTTTCTGGAAGTAAACTGTGGTCGTTCCATGCCGGATGAATCAACACTCAGGAAGAACTACCTTTCCCAGTGCTACAACAGTATCCTGGAAATGATCAGGAATAAATTGCATGGGAAGATTTTCATTTCCATTGATGAGACCTGCGATACGGAGGCTCGCTACATGGCAAATGTCATCATTGGAACCTTGGAAATTAGCGGACCAGGTGAAGTGTTTCTGCATATGAGTGAGGTGCTAGAATCTGTTAGTCATTCCACAATCTTCAAGCTCTTCAACAGGTCGATGTTTCTACTGTGGCCAGAGGGTATACAACATGACGTCGTCTTGCTTTTTGTGACCGATGCGGCCCCACATATTTTAAAAGCAGGCAGGTCAATAAAGTTGTTTTATATGAAATTGGTGCACTTTACTTGCCTAGCTCTTGCACTGCATAGAGTGATGGAAGAAGTGAGATCAAAATTTCCTCAAGTGGATGCTCTTGTGTCGAGGACGGAGAAGATTTTCATCAAGGCTCCAGCTCGTAAAATGCATTTTAAGTCTATGGTTCCTGGTGTTCCACTGCCCCCAGAACCCGTCATTAGAAGGTGGGGAACGTGGATTGGTGCTGCAATTTACTATTGCGATCATTTTCAGGTAGTGAAAAACATTGTAGATTCAATGAGGACGGAGGATGCGAGTGCAATTGAAGCTGCTCAGGAACAGTTCTCATGCATCGAAATGGAAGGAAAGCTGGCCTTCATAAAGGCAAATTTCAGTTCCTTGACAGAAGGAATCCAATGCTTGCAGGAGAAAGGAGCAACGATAGAAGATTCGCTCCCTCTGGTGAAAGAAATAGCCAGTGATTTGGAGAAAGTGTCAGGGGACATTGGTAAAATGGTGTCAAGAAAAATGAAAAGTGTTGTGGATAAAAACTCAGGTTATGAAACATTATGCAGCATTTCTCAAATTCTGTCAAGAGAGTCCTTCAGCGCTTTCAGTATTGAAGAAGAACTTACTGCTAGTGATTTGGTACACTTCAAGTATGCTCCCATTGTGTCTGCAGATGTGGAAAGGAGTTTCTCCAAGTACAAGAATGTGCTGTCGGACAATAGGCGCTCTCTCACTTTTGAGAATCTCCGCATGTTGACTGTCATCTATTGTAACTCTGAATGAGGTAAGACTTAAATGTTGGAATACATACCGTATATGTACATTTGATAAGCGTTCTAACACGGTAGAAAAAATCATATTAAAACATTTAGCTTCAAATTCAATCAATATTGCTTGATTTTCAACATAAAAACGAGGACGAACTTAAAAGAGTAAAGATGAGTTCAGTGTTAATAAAGATTAAAAATACATTTTAAAATAATTAGTAGATATTCTGACATATTACATTTTTGGGTCATATTTTAGGTCATTTTTCTGGATTTTTTCGGTCGTTTTATAGGTAATTTTTTTACATATTTTCAGGTCATCAAAATCCAGGCCCTGGTTATGAGCAAATTTCTTACATAGTAGGACTAGGACAGCCACGTCAAATACCATAATGAAATCATCAATTTAATTCTAATGTAATCTCTTATTGTAATATATTACTGACAAAATGGTAAAGAAACGAGGCTGTAAAAGTATACACTGTACAATAATGGGTTGGTTTGGTATAAGGAATTATAAATGAAATAATCAAGACTACAATGAATACTTCCCTTATAATAAATAAATATTAGATTCACATACAGCTCTTACTGTTAGGTGATAAACTTGGGAGAAGTCAACACTGCACTGAATGAACAGAGAGTACTAATTCTTCAGTGTTCACTGTCATGAACACATCAAGTTAAATTAAATACATATAAACTAATATGTGTTTCAGTGTCTTACTGTAGTTGAGCACTACATTAAAAGCATAAAGAAAATCTGATCTTTATGCATTCTTCTTGTTTAGTTACCTCGAAAACTCCTAAGACTTAAGAAATAGCCAACTGCCCATGAAATGTGTGAATTATTTTTCTCTGCAACATTTGTTCAAAACATTCTCCTGTGTAATAAATATGTACAGAGAGTGCATAGAGACACATGTAGGTCTTCATCCTTAAACTTACCTGATCTACAAGGAAACCGAAGTGGATCAACAACTTTTATAAAATTTTCCAGTATCAAATTTCATGAAAATCATTCAATGGTTCTTCAGTAGTTTCATGTGTATAGTCATGCCTTCTATCATTGATATCAGAACATTTTGGCTTCTTATCAACTGTCTAAAAACATAAGGACTAAAATATACAGAACTATAATTTTGGCTGTAGTTTGTATGGGTGTGAAACTTGGTCTCTTACATTAAGAGAAGAAGACAGACTAACGATGTTTTAGAAGAGGGTGCTAAGGAGAATAATTTGGCCAAAGAGAGACGAAATAATAGGAGACAGGAGAAAACTGCATATTGAGGAGCTTTGTAACTTGTACTCCTTACCACACATGATTGGAATAACCAAGGCAAGGAGGATGAGATGGGCAGAGCATGTAGAATGTATGGGAGAGGCGTGTGCACAGGGTTTTGGCAGGAAAACCTGAAGGAATAAGATCCTAGAGTATGAACTGGATTCATCTGGCTCAAGATAGAAACCAGCGGCAGGCATTTTTGAACATGGTAATGAACCTTCAGGGTCTGTGAACTGCTGGGAATATCTTAAGCTGCTGAGCAATTACTGGCATCTCAAGAAGGATTTGGCTCCTTCGAGTCAGGTAGCTAGGTAATTTTAGAAATTAATTTGTAAGTTACTGTTTTGCTGACCTTTCAGTACTCCGCTACAAGTCTGTATACAGCGTAGAGATGGAGAACAGTATGTATGATGTATTGTGACCCCTGCTTCCCTCATAGCCTCGCCAGTCAGGGTGGCTTGAAGTACCCCAACGTTGGTTAATGGACAGTCCTTGAAGAAACCCTGAGGTCCACTTGTTCGAGATGGAACAGTTTTTGGCATATTTAAGTCCTTTCTCATATATTTTCCTGCAATATATTAAGTTTTTAGTGTCAAAAAATACAGAATGATATACAAGGGTGAGTCAAATGAAAACCTTAAATTTGTAATAGAAAATCGAAATTTCGCGCCACTATCCTGTAAGTTGGTAAGCATGCAGAATGGCCTGTAGGTTGCAGCATAGTGCAGATGCACGAACATCGTCACAGCACCAGTATAAGATGGCTGCCCCACTTGAGACTTGCACCAGGGAAGAACAGTGTTCTGTTATTCGGTTTTTGTGTAGTGAAGATGTGAAACCTATTGAAATTATCGAAGAATGAAGTTTCAGTATGGTGATTCATGTTTGTCACAGCAGCAAGTGTACGAATGGAGTAGGAAGTTTGCAAATGGTGTGACTTCAGTGGAAGATGCTCCTCGTCCGGGTCAGGCACATCGAGTTGTGACTCCAGAGAACACTGCAGCAGTTGAAGCCATAGTGAGGGATAACCGCTGAATGACACTGAATGAAATTGCAGCAAGTATAAACATTATTCATGGTTCAGCACACCACATTGTGCACGATGTGCTCCAGTTTCACAAAATGTCTGCAAGATGGATGCCATGGCATCTGACTCCTGAATTGAAAGACTGAAGAAGTTTTGAACACAACCATCATCAGGGAAGGTTATGCTGACTCTCTTTTGGGATGAAAAAAGCGTCATCTTGGAGCACTACACAGCTAGAGGGACCACTGTCACCAGTGCATCATACTCAGATCTCCTAAAAAATCATCTTCGGCCTGCAATCAAATCAAAGCGACGTAGATTGCTGTCCACAGGTATCCTTTTGCAACATGACAATGCAAGGCCCCATACTGCCCGTACAACAGTTGTGACAATCAGTGACCTGCATTTTGAGTGTCTTCCTCATCCAGTATACTCACCAGACCTTGCCCCAAGTGATTTCCATATGTTTGGACCACACACACACACACACCACAAATCCCACTTGACCAGACCCGGGACTGAACCCGGGCCATCGTGGTGGGAAGCCAGCGACTAACCGCTTGAGCTATGGCGTGGACTCAGAATCCTCATTTAGTATTTCCTGGTTTGTTTTGCTTTATTTAATGCATGGCTTATATGAGGTAACCCTGTTAGCTAAGTACTGCATTTTAAAGTTTAGTTTTCAGGTTAATGACATGGAAGTTTTGCTGCATTTGAATAGTTTTTGGTTAGGCAGATATATTATGTTTAATCTATAGAATGAGACTGGGACGACATGTAACATGTATATGAAAAATAAGAAGTGTGTGTAGAGAGTTTTGGTCTGGATGCCTCCTCTAGAGAAGATGAGATTTGGGAAATGTAAGTGAAGAGAGGAAGATAATGATAAAAAGAATCATATAGAAATAAGATGTGAGGGTAATGGTCTGGATTCAGTCAGCTCAGAATAGGGATCCAATAGTAGACTCTGTGAACATGAATTGAGCTCAATAAATGGGGATTTCTTGGGCAGCCAGCTCAGTTATGTTTGAAGAAAGATCTATGTCATGGAGCTACTTAATTTACTGTGAACGTATATATGTTTGTATATTGCTGCAGTGAAGTAGCTCTCAATACCTGTTTCATCAAAACAGTATGGAATCCATGTTCCAAACGTAAAGTCCACCCTTTCTCCATGCCTGATGATGTAAATATGACGTGGACCTGGGATTGGCTCGGGTGTGATCACTTTTTCGATTAATGGTTTAACCTGAAAGTAAAGAATAATTATAAATATGTACAACACCATATAAAACTGACAGATTTACATCTCATTGTTCGACAATGTCTGATGTTCTCATGGCAGTGACTATGGAGATTACTGTCTTCTCGGATATGATACCGTGTAGTCTGGTAAATATTTACATCTGTCTCCATCTTACCGATGTTTCAGAGTTCCATACTCCCTTGTCTTGAGAGCATATGGATGCAGGACATTCCTCTGAAATGTTGGTAATAACTACCAGATTACACAGGTTCACATTGCAGAAGACAGTTACCTAAATTATTAAATTTGGGACAAAGTGTATGTCATGGAATTTGTTCAAGTTTTGGTTCTGAAGAGTATGTTGATGAAAATATTTTTTTGTAAGTTTTGAGGTTTTCACGGCGATGACTATGAAGAAAGTCGTCTTCTGGGTTTAGGCGCCATGTAATCTTCGTTTTGGCCGACGTTTCTGAGGAACGTATCGCCTCCATCTTCAGAGCAGTTGAATGGCTTGGAATGCAGAGAGCAGTAGCTGTTGTGATAGGAAGTGAAAGGTGCACTTAAGTGCGAAACGTTGGCCAAAACGAAGATTACACGGCGCCTAAATCCAGAAGACGAATTTCTTCAAAATGTTTCTTGTTCATCTTAACTATAAAATTGTCTGTTGTAGCTAAAACTCTGTAATCCTGGATGCACATAAGCCTCGAGGCATAGTATTGTGGTTTGGGGAGGGCTACATGGCTAATGTAATAATTATCACAAGAGGCATATTTCCCTTACACTGCCATCAGAGGCTACTATATTACCCACACAATGTGTGTAAGCTTCTCATGTTCCAGTATATCATTTCACTTTTGACTTGTCAGACATCACCGTCCCTTTATGATTTAGTATGTGTCAAAAATCTTTGAGTTTTATAAGTATGACTTTGTTTATTTCCTGGTTTCTTTAACAGTTCTGGATCAGCCATAGGCAACGATTGTTTTGAGACACAATGGAATATGAGGTTATTTGACCAGGATTTTAAATTGACAGACCATCCATTTCAGTGCAGTCTCAGTAATGGGTGTTCGAAGATATTTTAATTATAACTGCCGTGTAGGTTTCATCTAGTTACATAACTGTAGCTTACAATATATGCGTTACATTTAATATAACATACTATTCTCTATAATTACTATGAATTACTAAATGAATGAGGGATGGGCCACAATAATCCAGCCCGTGCACCATGATCATCTGTGATCTCTTGTGCTTCCTCTTTGCTTAACCCTTTATCAATCCTACACTTTGAATGAAATATAGGACTTGTTTATGGGGGAATCATAGTAGTCACTTGGTTCCATAAAGAACTGGCTCAGGTGATGAAATCATAAATAAGGTATGGCCTCACAATCACATAGGGTGTGTGTGGCTGATTCATCTTCTTCTAGGCACATTTCGCAAATGGGGTCATTTGTAAATCCCAGTTTAAAAAGGTGTCCTTTTGGGTGACAGTGTAGTCCTACCAACTATCGTAATTGGTCCCTGTTTAACTTCAACATATTCTTCGTTCTTCTAGCAGAGGGCCCTGGTATAAGTCCCGTTGCCTCTTTAATTCCAGTTGTGGATTCCCAATGTTTTTTGTGATTTCTATCTGTCCAGTCCCTGATTGTTTTCTTGGCAACTTTGATTGACATGGCGCAAGCTGGTGCAGGTCCTATGAAGGGATGTTCAGATCCTGTTCTTGGCAACTGATCTGCTGTTTCATTACCAAGAATACCCTCATGACCTGGCACCCATATCAGTTGAACTCTGTTATGTTTGGCCAGTTATGTGAGGGGTTGGTGACAGTCCCAGACCATTTTTGAGGTGATCTGGTGTTTACCAAGTGCTTTAATTGTAGATTGACTCTCTGACAGAATATAGATGTTCCTATTTTTATAGTTTCTATCTAGATTCTAACATATAGGGAACAATGTTCTTAGGGGATTCACAGCAAAAGTTGTAAGGTGAATTTAACTGTGGTTCATACTGGTCCAATATAAACCTGCCTTGACGTGAAGCTCAAAAACCAGATTTTCTATTAAAAAAACCTTCATACATTACATGAAATGTATTGGGTATCTCATTAAGATCTAAAATGTCTATTCAAAACATTTTTCTGTATGTTGAATATTTTAACATAATACAGGATAAAATAATTTATACCTTTGTGTAGTGTTATAAATAAATAAATATATATATATATATATATAAATGACCTTTGCGACAACAGATTCGCATTGACAAAAAGTAAACATTAAAGGTAAAAATACACATGTGAAATCCACTGGAGCAAACCTTTTCACCCAGAAAAGTAAATATAAATTTAGCATATTAAAACATCTGTTTGGCTCTGCATGTACAAGAGATAGATGAATTTAGAATGGCTTAAAATATCCATGGCAAAAATAAGTCTTCACTTTTGAACATTATCCAAGCTGTGTACTCTCTCAGCTTATAAACTGGCAAACCCAAAATACTTTCAATGTGCTCACTTCTGTCACTTGTGAAGGGGCTTGCTTATCCTCACTTGAGTCACTAGTAGCATCAGAGGCTTTGTTGCTGCTTGGGATATCTCCTATACTTCCCTCTTGTTCATGATGACTTGCAGGCATTTGCTGTGGTAAGGACATGACACTGTCTCCTCCTTCCAGATCTTCTGAATTATTCATCTTGCTTAGTGGTACTGTTCTGTAAGATACATTGTGACACATTATTTGGCAACAATGCATAAGAGTATAGAGATGTACAGTGAACAGTTAAAGAACAATCTACCAGATTTTCAGCTGTGTTTATTTCCATATGCCATGTTTCCTAGAGTAATTCCTGTGTTTTCTTTAGCAAAATATTTTTAAGTCAGGCATGAAATTTATATTAGTAATGAATTGTTGGATCTTAACATCAGTAACAATTGTTCCAAAACAGTTAAAGAATATAAGGATTTAGAATTTGATAGAAAACATAGTACTGGTTTGTACATGGAATTTTGTGAAGTCTAAATCTTCAGAAGCATAACACCAACATTGGGTCTTTCAGGCCCAGGACATGACTGCCCCATGGGTGATGTCATCAATAAACATATAATTGTATTTTGAGTCTCGAACTCAAAAATATAACATTTTGATATGCAGTTTGTTGTCCATTTTAGAAGTTTCCCCACAGCTGGCCAAGAGATTGCACCTTCATTTTTAAGCTGATCCCACAATTGTCTTAAATTAAATGTTTGATATCCCATACCAAATGGCAGAACTGCTATTCTTCATTTGGTCACGTAGAGAAAGGCAGACTAACAAAAAGCAGTCTGCTTGTCAAACTTAATTTCCTCCCATCCTGCAATTTCTGTGTTCCCTCGGGCAGAACTAGTAAATATCTTCATCTTGCCTTATAGCAGGATAGAGCTGTCAGAAAAGCTCTGCAGAGCTAAATGGACTCAGGGAATTTATGACAGCAGAGTTGAGTGGAATGAAGCACTTACACAGCAAACATAAGAAGACCTACATGATCTATTCCCTGCCAATGAATTCCTTGTGTTTAACAAAATCCATCATCTTCTGTCCTGAGGGGTATCAGTTCAGGTTTGAACCAAAATGACTGGCAACAGTAAATATGGCAGATGCAGAGAGGAAAAAAAATTAATATCCCTATGTAGTTTCTTATATTTCTATTTATTGGCTTCATAACAATAGATTTGTATTTGTAGCTGCAGAAAGTTAACGTTAAAATATGCTAAACTGCAAAATATGCTGTTTTGTTGACTTTAAATTATTCTATAACCATCTATGTCAAGATTAGGGCCGTGCCATAGCTCAAGCGGTTAGTCGCTGGTTTCCCACCGCAGCGGCCCGGGTTCTATCCCAGGTCTGATCAAGTGGGATTTGTGGTGGACAAAGTGACGCTGGGGCAGGTTTTCTCCGAGTACTTCAGTTTCCCCTGCCAATCTTCATTCCACCAGTTGCTCCACAATCTCCCTCGCCTATCATCTGGGGCTGGTACAATAGGTCAGAAGTGGCCGCAGTACAAGGGACTTAGTCCCACCTCACTAGCAATTAAAAAAAAACTGAAAATATGTCAAGATTAACAATTTTAACTCTACTGTTTCAAAAATGTTTGGGTTATTCTTCATTTGATGCTTTCAAATTATCATGCAGTGGGTGTCGTGTATGTCATGCAGGGGAAAAATGATTGAGATCAGCTGTCTAAGATGTTCTCCTGTATTTTATAGGGTGAAAATAACAGTTTGCTTATAGACACTTGTATTTGTGGTATGCTCACCTGTGCAGGGTCCATGCATCAGATTCTGCTGTTCGTTCTGTATAATTTTCTGGTAAATAACCACTACAACCTGGAAAACATATATACTTTTAATATTATTTTTTACATACAGGAGGTAACAAGTTTAATTAGGATTATGATCTTCTGGGATATAGTGCCATGTAGTCTAGTAGACAGGTACCATTCCTTCAGTGGAACCAGCTGCTTCCATCTTCAGGGTAGAAAAATATTGGTTGAGATAATGAGTTTTAAAAAGGGGTCAACAATTTTAAAATGAAATGCTGCAGTAACAAATTTGTCTGGGTAATTTTAATATCCCACTGTGGGAGAGATAAGAACACGTAACATATGCACTTAACTGGTTAAATAATTTACCACTGTGGTATAAAGAAAGTAAGTGAGCTGTAAGTGAATCACTGATGAGTTAGGAATGATGTGTCTCCCACCAATCTGTCACGGGTGTTAAGTGTTGCAAGTGGTATAATTAATTACCATTATGTAATAAAGAGTGACAATTAGCTGTTAGAGAAGCACATACCAGTCAACCACGATATGCCTTCTACCCAACCATCAGGTGAAGTATTAAGGGCTTCACTGCTCAGGCAGATGTAGTCACCAATCCTCAATTCCAGTTCATCTGACTCTCTCGGCGCATATGAATACAACACATTATGGACCTGCAAGCAGGAGGGTGGAGGTACTGTATGTAATTATAAACTGTAGGGTGTTCATCTCAGAGCTGCCCAAAAATCATTTGATGATTCTGGCTGGAGAGATTGACAATCCCCATGTCAACATAGACCACATAGATTTGTACTAGCAGTGGGCTCAACGGAGCAAGGGTCTGTGCGCATTACAATTTCTCTTCATCAGCCCAGTTAATCATTTAAAAGCTAACATGAAGCAGACTTATGTGCTATGGCCTGGCTGATTACTATTGTCTCATATAATTTTACTACGAGTTTAGTAACAGTTTGTGCCGACACTTTTGAAACCTAGGTGTCCTGTGTAAAGATGGCTGAGGATTTTAAGGAGAATGTTCAAGTCTAGCACCAGTTCTATTCAGTTTCTCTGCAGTGAGTTCTATCTTTGGGATAAAATGCCACAGAGTCTGTCGAAAGTCAACTGATTACACAGTGTTATATCTCGGAAGACAGAACTCTTCATAACCAGTGCTGTGAGAACCTCAAATCCTACAGTGATCCTGTCTGTCTTAATCTGTTTATGACTATGTGAATAGATAGTATCTGCAACTGTAACATCTGAAATTTATGCTGGAATCATCTCTTTACACAACCACTTTTCACATGAGTACTGTACATTGTTCATGTGTATCGAACATGTATTTTGACACAAGAAGTAATGCTGAGGATTGCAGTCAGCTGGCACATAACATATGAACTTGCTTCATGATAACTTTCAGCTGTGTACTGCGGCCATATTGAATAGAAATTTAATGTGTGTATGTTCTTGGTTTATCAGTTACAGTAGCAGTCTGAATCTCATTAGTCCAAATTAATGTAAAGATTGCCTGTCTCTTCCATATGGGTTCCCAAATGACTTCCCAGTAGGTTTCAAACAATCAAAAATAATAATCACATTTTATCATCTGCTGAAGGTTTTTTATGTTTCAGTTTTACCTTTATTTCTTTCGGTTCAAACATTGAGACATGTAATTCTTGTTTGGTTCCAGATGGTTTTGAGACTCAAATTGTAGCGCACTACATTCAACAGAATTATAACTCTGCCATCACTGTTTTCATTTTAAATCCTGTTTTGGTGTTTTTAATTGCCTGGTAGTTTGCTGATTATTAAAATGTTTTTAAGGTAAAGAGGACAGGCTTATGTGAACATAGTGATGAATCTTGATGTTTCATAAAAGTGGTTTGTTACTAACTACTAGTGTACTAAACAAGAATGAAGTTAGGTGTTTATACTGTAATGGTGGCTGGGTGCTTTTCTAATTATGGTTATTCTTTATTGGACGACTACCTTTATCTGCATAACACTGAGAAGGTTCATTAATTTCTGTTTCTAATTAAGATGATAATTTATATTTCTTCATATAACTTTCATAATAATAATTAATAAGGTAAATTCTTCACAGAGAGTTCTGTCTTCTGGGATGTAATGCTGTGTAATCCATTGAGCGTCAATCAACATTTCAGAGGAACATGTCGGCACCCTCGTCTGGGTTGAAGTATAAGCTCAGCAAGAAACCAGCAAACAGCTCTGCTTGCCATCTGTTTTCATGCTGGTTTCTTGCTCGCCTGATTCTACCCTGAAGATGGAGGCGACATATTCCTTCGAAACATTTGTTGACTTTCAGTGCATTACACAGCATTATATCCCTCTTCATAACCACTGTTGTCAGAAGCTCAATCTTACACAAATTCTTAACGTTTATGCTTTTCCGACCAGTGGAATATTTTTCTGAAAAGAAAACTCCACCTTCGAAAACCCCAACTGTCTTTGAGCATTAACAATGTTACACCTAAGATCACGCTGTATGATGGTTTACTAACCTGTTTAGAAGTGACACGTGTATCTCGAGAGTAGAGGCGCAGCTCCCAAGTTGCTGGGGCGGAGGGGTCTAGCTCCTCCACAAGTGTCTTAAGGGCAGTAAACTGTGCTGGCGCAAACTGGTATGCTAACGTCAGGTGTAGTGACTTGACATGGGGCTCTAGGGTAATAGCTACAATTCAACAAATACTGTGTAAGTCCCATACAGTTCATGTGTACACAAGTCCATTCTGTAGTGCTAATGTGATCCAGACAGTTGTTTCTGTATTGATGTATTCTCATAATTTTCAAGAGCTTGGTAATAAAAACTTAGTTTTGTCCTTACTTTGATATTATAAAAGGATTTCTTAAAGTAACTGGAAAAATTAATGGTACATAAAACATAGCAGTGCATTACACGAAAGCCCAAAATAACTTCTGCACTGAAGCCAATATTATAATTTACTATATCATGAAACATGCAATATGTGGACGGGAACAAGCATTAAAAACATGCTGACCTTAGGCATAATGCTCATAAAGCTGACAAATATGTTGCTGAGAGGTTTAAGATAATCAAAAGGAGCAAGATGTATTGTAAGTTTAACTAACTGACTGACTAATAATTCTTATTTTTCTCATGGGGCGAGACAAGAGTCCACTTGGTACTGCCGCTACTGTTTGGTCTATTGTACCAGCCCCAGATGATTATGATGATGATTGTGGAGCAGTTGGTGGAATGCGAATTGGCAGGGGAAACCAAAGTACTCAAGAGAAAACCCGCCCAGTGCCAATTTTGTCCACCACAAATCCCACATGATCTGACCTTGGCTCAGATCCGGGCTACTATGGTGGGAAGCTGGTGACTAACTTACTAGGTAGGTAGGTTAGGTAGCTGCTAACTAAATAAATGGAGCAGAGTCCATAAGCAACAGTAGTTGTGCAGCTGATCTAACAATTCCCATCATAATATGGAACCTGTGTGCAAAGGAGCCCAGCATTGGTCTTGTGTGAATCCAGTCCACATCCACCCATCCAGTTTCTTTAAGATCCATTTTAATATCCTCCCATCTCTCTTATGTCTTCCATATGGTCTCTTTCCTTCAACATTTCCAACGAAAACTTTGTATGCATATCTGTTTCCTGCCATGTGTGCTACATGTCCAACCCATCCAATTCTGGATTCAGTTGGAACTTTAATAGTGGCAACTATTTATTTACAACTGATACAAAATAGATGCATGTTTCGAAGTTTTAGTGTCCTTCAATGTAGTCACCAGCATTATGTACAACCTGTTGCCAGCGATGTGGAAGTCGTAGGATACCTTTAGCAGCGCCTGTTGTGTTGATAGTTCGAATGGAGCAGTCTACTGCCTGAAGAATCTCTGGAACAGTTCTGAAGCGAATGCCACGAAGTGGTTCCTTCATGTTAGGAATCAAGTTGAAGTCACAAGGGCTTAAGTCCAGGGAGTATGGTGGATGGTACAGCACTTCCCAGCCCCATCGATCGAACAAATCACCCACAGCTTGTGCTGCATGCGGCCGAGCATTGTCCTGCAAAATGATGGGTGGGTTCTGCAGAAAGTGTTGCCGCTTCTTTCTCAAAGCTGGTCGCAGGTTGTGTTCCAAAAATGAACAGTAATACTGCACAGTAATACTCTCCAGTAATGCGGAAAGAGCATACACTTCTTCTTTACTGACACTAGGACCTGGCTGACGCATGTCTGCCATATTTTGGCGTCCCTTGCTGAAGGCTTTTACCCAACTTGCCACTGTTCTGTAAGGAAATGCAGATTCCCCGCAAGCCTCTTGAAGACCTTGATGACACTGTCGTACTGTATGGCCTCTGGTACATTCAGTCTTTATCCAACTCCGTTGTTCCTATTTTGAAAACATCGTGACAACACTACATTAGAACGCCAGCTAACACGAGGCTCTGTTCTTCTCGTCACTGCGCATGTGCGTGATGTGGGAAGGGAGAGTCCATTTGCTCTGAGGTAAGGTAGGTATGTAACTAACATGTGGTATAAGCGACATTATTTGGTTCCATTGCATGGCGTGTCTACAGCAGTGTTGCCACTCTTAAAGTTCCAGCCCTTGTATAAAGAGTGTAAGTTATGGGTTCCTCAGTGTGCAGTTTTCTCCAGCCTTCTGTTAATTTCTCCCTCTTTGGTGTCTTCTCTGACACCTTTAGTACATTCTCCTCCCTTAATATGAGAGACCAAGTATCCTAAGTTTCATTCTTGAATACATTTAATGATGTTATACCAACTGAAAACTGCTGGTTGATTGTAGTTGTGAGGTCAAAAGAGTGTGGGAAGAAGCTGTAATTAGCATTACTTTCATGTATTGGCCAGCAGTTTGTAATACAAGAACTCTATAGAAAATCTCAAAGACATGATGAATATCTCCGAGCTCAGATTCAGATAAAGGCTGTATTGTTGTATGGACAGTCACACAACATATACTTCTATATTTCATGATAAGGGATTTGATGTTTTGTGACTTCAGTCAGATTGCAGTATAAAATCACAATTAAAAGGTGTAATAAACCTTTTTAATCTCCCCGTATAAATAGGGTGGCCAAATCAAGGAGAAAGAGATGAGTTGGAAATGTAGCACACATAAAGGGAGATAAGACAAATACAAAATTCTGGTCAGAAAACTTAAAGGAAAGAGATCACTAGCAAGACCTACACATAGATGTGAGTACAATATTGTCACATGTATGAGTGACTCAACTGGATGTTGGATTTATTGACTACTTTATCACACAACCCTAATTACACTTAATTGCAGTGTCATCACTAATTTCCACACTTTATAAATCACTAGAGCACATGCTAAGTCTTCCAGTCTGCAGTGTCTTCACTAGTAGCTGCCTGTTAACGGCTTGTAATAATGGATATTCCTCTGCTTCAGGGCTCAAGTCCTTTCTGGATGGCGGTTCCCTTCCAATTGAACTAAGCTTCTACTTCTTCCCACTTGTAACTCCTCGGTACAGACCAACAGAAAACACAGCTCTTCTGTTGTTGTGTCTGGATTTGCTGCCACAGATGTGTTTAACATGCCATTGTGTAGCAACAGCTGTGGTGCGGATCACAGAAAACATCGCTTGCGACAGTTCTTCTGTTGTTGCATGTTGATTTGTTGCCATGGGAAGCTGTTCGTTTGTGACTGTTACCTAGTAATGGGTCTACATGCCACAATATTGTAGTGGATCTTATGATACTGGCTTAGGACAGGTCCAGTGACATTCCTGTGAGCATGATACTGAACCATTAAGGTCCATAAAAGGTTGGGAGTTTCTTCACCAGTTGAGCAACTGTCATCTTCTCAAGAAGGATCTTGCTTCATGGAGCTAGTTCCAGGATATAATGCTAGAAACACCAATCTCCTGAAATGTCCTACAGAGTGACTTACACTACACTTACCTCCTTTCAGCCACTGGATATTTTTAACAAATAGTATTTCTGTATTAGAATTGGTTATGGATGTTGGACTTAATGCACATTAAAAAAATAATTACAGTTTTATTACCTAGATGATGGATATATGCATAAGTACGTTTAGTGGAGTAAACTAGAAGAAAATCCAGAAACAATCACTGTCACTTATTTATCCCTGTGTAATATATATATTTGCATCTGAATATAAGTCTATCTCCTGTGGCCAGGTGCAGTATAGTGGAGACACCAGCAGAACAGTGTAAATGATCAAATTATATATCCATGCTGGTTCTCAGCCCTCTGAATCAAATTCATGCAGTCTCATGCACATTCTGATTTTGCCACAGTGAAAGTCATTGCATGATCATAAATCATTGTAGTGAACACTAATCACACTACAGATACATGTTAAAAATACTACAATGTGTCAGTCATGAGGCTGGAAAGGTGTCATTCTACATCAAATCAACACAGTTTAGGGGTAAAGTTTTCATGACCATCTCTGGTTCTAATAAAATCTTGTAAGCTTATTGGTTCTCCTTAAGAAGTGACACACATGAAACTTTGCCTTTCTGTGATCATTAACTGCAGAAATATGGCATTTGAAAATATTGTTTTCTTTAAATTTTCCCTCATTCTGATTCACCAAAATGCTTGTAACTCTGGACCTAATTAAGACAGAGAGCTCATTCTTGTATTTATTGAAAGCTCTTAAGTGGGTCTTTCGTTTGGAATGCCACTCAATAGTTTAGGGCAGTTTAACATTTTGACCTTTGACCTTAATTTATGAAATAAAACAGCCAGATTTTGCTTTGTAACAATTAATGAACATATGATTTATGTGTCTGATTAGGCATGATCAACCCGTACAGACACACAACTGGGCATCATCATCTTCTCATGCCTAATGTTAGTAGAGTTAAGATGTATTCCCTTGTCTGGAAAATTGTGTAGTGGTTTTGTCAATATGTAATAATACAAATGCCATCGTGAATGCAACAATTTATTTGGTTGTAGTTCTTCGTCTTTTCTTCCTCTACACTACATGTTTTGGCTGCAACCAGCCATGATCAGGTGTATTTTTCACTACGTAGCTGTCACACTGCACACAGTCTAAAATCTAAAACACCAGCCTGTTAGTTTTGTTTAAAATCTCGCCAACATACGCCCGTCAATTTGATTTTAGAATTCTAATTTAAAATTTAAATTTTTTTTATAACCTTTAAAATTCAAAATTTAAAGTTTTAAATCACAGGGATACCCGCTCTGTGTCTACATGTGCTGCACTGGCTATTTCTTATTTTCAGCACTGTTCACGTATTATTCTGTGCAAGCTCCCTGTGTGTGTGTCGCTGCTCAGTAGCGCAGCTTCCATCATCTCCTCATTATTGTTGAAGCACTGTGATCACAACCACTTCAGGTAGGTAAACAGCTGGTAGTTCTTCGGAGAGAGATCTGGGCCCAGCCCAGCCCAGCCCAGCCCAGCTACAAACTCCAGTTGAAATGCTCCAGCACTGCTTGAGTGCAAGCAGCTGTTTGAGTATGTGGACGCACATTGTCAAGGTTGAGCACTACACCAGATGTTAGCATTCCAAGCCTTTTGTTCTGAATGGCCCTACAGTTTTTTTTTTTTTTTTAAGCAATACAAAACAGCTAAGCTCACAGGCAGGAGACTTGCATGTGTCTTTTCAGAGGTAAAGATCAGAAAGTTAATGTGCTCTAAAATATGAGTGGCATAAAGGAAAGCCACAAGTAACAGCTTTCCATTGCTACAAGAATGAGCTCACTATCGTAAGTCCAGAGTTATAAGCATTTTTGTGAGTTGGAGCACTGAAAAAATTAAGGAAAACTTATAACTTCAAAATGCAATAATTTCGAAATTAATTGCCATGGGAAGGAAAAACTTTGTATTTATCACTTACTCACCCAGACTCTGTAAACCTACAAAATTTCATTAACATCCAAGGTGGTCATGTAAACTGTTGTGCTGATTTGACATGATACAAAGGACAAATCAAAAGTTGTCACAAAGGGACACTACAGCATAGAAATGCTTCAGTGCTTTCTTACTAGTATTCAGAGAAAGAAGAATGACAAATCATTCAAAGCTTATGACATCGCATAACACAAAAATTGTTATGGAAATAGAAATTTTATTTAAGATTTGAGGCTTTTATGGCGGTGACTATGAAGAAAGCAGTCTTCTGGGATTTGGCACCGCGTATATGTGGTGTTAACCGACGTTTCGGAGGAACATATCGCCTCCATCTTCAGGGTAGAAGGTAAAAGCTTTTACCAGTTCTCACAGTCTCTTCGCTTGCGGATTTCTTATATTTTTCCTTCTACCCTGAAGATGGAGGCGATACGTTCCTCCGAAACGTCGGTTAACACCACATATACGCGGTGCAAAATTCCAGAAGACTGCTTTCTTCAGAAATTTTATTGTTTCAAAGTACAATAATTTGTTTTATTAAAGGTTATGTAATGTTCCTGTTCTCCCTTGAATAACAAGCAGATTGAACTTTGTCATTTCTTCTGCAATTACATGAAAACACTCTGAACAATAAGTCTAGCTTGACTGTAACTTAAAAACTTTATTCATGCTGCAAGAGAGGAACAATTACAATATGTCACACAAATCAGGACATTTCTTTCTTACATTTGACTCCTCGAGGTACATATCTATCTGTGGCAGTAGTGCACCATGGGAAACAAGCAGAGAGGGCATCAAGATGTTCATAATTATCGTTAATTACTGTAAAGGAATAACAAACAAATTCTTTCTAAATTTATATTGCATTTTAGTTTGAAGCAGTGAAATAAGAGTAATCAAATTTGACATCAACTGATTTTAAATTGCTCATAACTATTCAGCATACTAAATTATAATGAAACAAAGACTTAGAAACTAGATATAAACTGATGTAACTTAAATTTTGATAATGGCATTTCTTCAACGCTGTGAATAATACTGTAGCCAGCAGATAAGTTGTGCAAATTCAGCAGGTTATGGGTGGAGAAGAATACAGACTGCACATGTGCCACCATGTTCTGCCACCCTTCTGCAGTACCTATAGTAATTCATCTGACAGTATACTGGTAAGGGTAGCTCTAAGGCAGTATTTCATGTTAGGTGGATGGATACCTACCAAAGTATACCAAGATGATTTCCACAGCAAAGGCCAGAGAGTACAAGACTCAAGAAAAAGATGCAGACGTTAGCCACATTGCCATGACTCAGTTTCTTGAATTTGGTAGTGGCATTCCTCCCATGCCTGAAGTAGTGATTATGTTGCCAAAACTCTGTTTCCAGAGCCTTTCTGTTGAAATCTTCATGGATATGAAGCACGAGTGCTAAGCTCTACATCAAAATGTTTGGTAAATTTAGCTTGCTGATATATCAATTGCTGTAGAAATGGCAGAGAGATGATCAAGGGAAATTAGTTGTTACAAAATCTCCCCTCTCCTTAAGCACTGTTGTTCGCCAAAATTCCTGCCCAAACCATGCAAGGAGTGTTGGTCTATACATTGTTTAAGAAATCTTGTGTTTCAGATGATGAATGTTATATTATGAGGACAGAAGGAGAGATAAAATAGTGAATACCTATTTTAAGATACTACCTTTGCATTTGCATTTTATATCCAGACAACTGTAATACTTTTTTTTATCTTAGATCATACTCTTTGCCTTGTACAACTGAAGATGGGGCCAAGAGAATGACAGTGAAATGAGGACAGAGGTGGATTAGGACAATACCAGTGAAAGACTATTTAAAAAAAATCCATTTGTTTCTATGTTTCCATGGTAAACCCACGTTTTATTTGCTGAAAAGCCAATAGAAGAAGCTTTTCTGTAACTTTCCTTCATTTTTGCTTGCTAATCATCATTCTACCACTGCTCCTCATCCTGAGGCATGCAACACCTATGACAAAATAGCACATTGTGGCATCCTTGCCCACTAAGTCGGGGACTTCATTTCTGACCCAGCATTTGTATGGTTACAGAGTAAGGAAGTTAAGTTTTCAAATGATAAATCTCACTCCTAGCACCGATAAACTTAACTGGATATTTCGTATTATAACAGTTGCTTCTATAAGGAAAAGTCTGAGGGCATTAAGTTCATGTTTATACCAACAGATGGCAATCAGATGAAGAAAGTATAGTAAATGTTGATTTTGGATTGGAAAGATTTAAGGTACTTGAATTTGTCTGAAAATTAAGATAAGGCAACTGAGATGGCTGAATTCAAGGACCAACTCCTCCTGATATAAACCAAGCTAACTACCAATCCACCACATTCCATAAGTACTATCTAACAGTGTAGCGTATCTGTTCTTTCCTCCACAACCCTGTCCCTCACAACCCAAGGCCGAAGTTCTTGCTTCCATTGTCATGCATAAAACTGCCAGTAATTCTGTGTGAAAACATTTTTAAACTCACTTGCATTTGACACTTCCTTAACATACTGCATAGCCATCCTTTTAAGTAGATCTGCATGTTCCTCAGCAACAAAGAAACCCATAAAATTCTGCGAAACATAGATTTCTAATTTCAGTGTCTCACAGAGATTCACATTCTGTGATTCAACGACATGTTTCAGTGTTCTGGCCAGCTGCTGGGCACATTCGTCAGGTGCCTGTGAAATAACATATTTTATGTACATGTGTTTTCCTTGACACATCTAATAATGACATTTGATTCCTATTTAAATTATTATTATTATTAAATTTAAAAATCCAATGACCTCATCGGGAATTGAACCTGCAACCTTCAAGCTTGTAGCATCTAAATGTGCAGTCAGCAATGGACTGCTGAACATTTTAATACCAGAGGGCTACACAGGAAGGACCATCTCTGCACATAAAGAAAGGTAAATCTGTCCCTGTAACAGGCTGTGAAGGCCTACAGGTGTGTGAGAGGTTGAGGCTCCCACAATTTCTAGACAGTTGACTCACAGATGGCAGTGTGGTAGTCAGCCTTACACATCAGCTGCCCTTTACACCCAGGAAGATTCCTAGTTCTCATTTCTGTTTGAGGCTGAGTCAACTCCAGGGCCATAGTGCAGCTGGAAGGATTAGGCCAACTGAAAAATCCAGTGACTTCATCAGGAATAGAACCCACGACCTTCCAGCTTGTAGCACAGTGCCTCCCACAACTATGCTACTGCATGGCCCCAGGACATATTAGACACATATATCATGCTTCACCTATATAGATAATATGGTCTATATTCTGGTTATTACTTCAAGAAATCTGTTCATGCTTAAGGAAAGAGAAAAATGTGTTTTGGCTGAGAGACACAGCAGCACACCTTAATATTGCTTTCATATTGTACCTACTAAGACATCATGTTCATTGTCCATCACAATATGTACAATTAATGAAGTTCTTATTTCAAGCATGTGATTATCAATCTGTAAATTGTTTGGTAAGAGTCATTTAAATTCAGAATGACTGACAACCACTATACCACTTTCAACAGCTGCAACTCAATAATTCCTGTTGTAGATCTATCATCTTATGTCTCAATATGAAAAGTATAGTCTGTAGTCACTGAATTTCAAAATATTCTTTACATTAAGGTTTCTATCAGTTACCTTAAAAAATGAAACTAATGTGATATGAGGCATAAAGTTGTGAGCACCATTCCAGCCACACTGAGCTAATGATTTTTCCCAAAATGCTTGCAGTTGTTCTAGGAATGGGCCAGTTGGGCACACATATAAGATGTATTCACGGGGACAGTTGTCATCTAAGGTTGGATCATTAACGTGTGCCAATAACCAATCTGAAGCAAGCTGTACACCTCTGTTTCCTGTAGCAGCCAAAGCCTTCTCTCTGAAACCCAATGAAAGTAAACCTTTTATGTATTGCAGTTTTATGTTAAAATTCTACTGTTTATTTAGTATTTCAAGCTACCTAAAACAGGTGGCACAAAGCAAATCCAATTATTCAAGGACAGTCCAAATCCTTAAATTGACAACCAGGCCAGACCATCACTGAAGACACTGATCCAAGTTTTAATTTTGCGTATGTAGCGCAATAAAATTATATTTAAAAGCATCTTCACATAATTAACACAATTTTAAACCATTTATACCATGTACAGTATCAAGGTTCAAGGAATGAATTTTAAGGTTATGAAATCCAAAAGTGAACACGAAGGAGAAGTTATAGGAAACTGGGTCAAGATTTTACTGTAAATATCTCGCAAAACATATGTGAATGACATGTACTGCCATATAGTAAGAACAGCTTACGCTCTGTGCTTAGGAAAGCCCATCTGCAACAGTATTTGTAACGGGGATAAATGCTGTTTTGATATTTTGGTTGGTGTTGGATTTTTCCGTGGAGGAAGAGTCGCCATGCTAACAGATGTAACTAATGAAATCAACAAAATGTATATAATCCTTGAACCATACAGAGAAATGTCGGTAAAATATTTTATAGAAACTCTACAAAGTAATTTCATTATTTATACCAGTAAGTGAACTTTTCATTGGAAGTCGTCAATTCATGTGTCAAGCAAATGTAGATTATTAGATTTAGCTTACTTCCGTATGGAACGTAGTGGTTGTAGTTGTGCCGGTTCGAAATGGCGGGTGTATTGTTTGAAGATATTTTCAATGTGAAAGATATTGATCCAGATGGAAAGAAATTTGACAGAGGTGAGTAAACACTTGCGTACTTTAAATACCAGTAGGTGTATTTATTTATGACAAAGTTGAAGTGTATTGCCATTGGATTTGATCTGTGTGGATACATAACCTATGCAAGTCACATGCCGTCTGAAGACTGTGTAGCATACGTCAAAGAGTGCTGTGGCATGAGTACTTTAAATATAAACAGTGACACCGTGGGGAACTAGACGAGAAATTGTAACACATAAGCCCAGAAATCAGGATCGACGATTACATGTGTGAGATGCGGTGTGACCGCAGTTTGGTAGATAACTAGCAACATTTCAGAAGCAGGTTACTCCGAAATCTATATGTAATAATACAAATGCCGTCGTGAATGCAACAATTTATTTGGTTGTAGATCTTTGTCTTTTCTTCCTCTACACTACATGTTTCGGCCGTAATTGGCCATCATCAGGTGGATTTTTCACTTTATTGCTGTCACACTGCACACTGTCCAAAATCTAAAACATCAGCCTGTCAGTTTTGTTTCAAAATCTCGCCAACACACGCTCGTCAATTTGATTTTAGCATGACAGTTTAAAATTTAAAATATCTAAAATGTAAAGTTTTAAATACCAGGGACACCTGCTCTTGTCTACATGTGCTGCTGCGGCTATTTCTTGTTTTCAGCACCGTTCATGTATTATTCTGTGCAGGCTCCCTGTGTGTCTCTGCTCATCTTTAATACTCTTTAATACTGGACAAAAGTATTAAAGATGAGCAGCGACACACACACAGGGAGCCTGTACAGAATAATACATTACGGCCGAAACATGTAGTGTAGAGGAAGAAAAGACAAAGGTCTACAACCAAATAAATTGTTGTATTCACGACAGCATTTGTATTATTACATATAGAAGTGTATAGTGCAACAGGATGCTTAAATATGATATAGTTTCCGAAACGTTATCACCCTATACGTCCTACCCACATCATACCCACATCCAAGAATGCAGTAATCATCAGAAGCATGGTTTTTAGGTTCTATTGAAGTATATATACTGAAAGTGGTGTTGGCGTTTAAGATTATAGCTATCGTAATTTATTTTTAATAGAAATATTTGCATTTAAGGATTGTTTTTAACGAAATTTTCTTCTTATGTTCTTACTTGATTCGAAAATGTAGGAGATAAATTTTTACTGCATGTTACTTTATAATTTATAGAACTCCTTAAATTCAAATAAATATAAATACAAAAGAAAATGTAGTTGGATAGGATGGACATTTCATTTTTTATGACATTTCGCGATATTGTTTGTTACCAGCATGAAATGTGTTTATGAAATACACCCGTTTTCATTTCCCTCACCACACAAATTGCCATTTCCAAAATTTAATGCAGCAAGCACAGAGAAGTGCACTCAGTTGGAGTGCATGTATTTCCTAAATGAATTACCTGCAATTTTATAAATCTCAGATATAAGTATATCATTGCAGTCTACTGTACCAAATTACACTGTAATTTGGTAGATGGGTAGCAAGTACTGCAGCCATCTTGAGGTTTGCATCCTAGAGGACTGTAATCTTGTGAAAAAGTAAGTTTGACTTGAGTTCATATAAAATAGGAGGTTAAATTTTTTCTGTATGGACCAAAATCATATTTGCGTGACTACTTTTACAGTGGATTCCCAGCAAAAACTTCATTCAGCTTGTTGCCAGAACACACAGAGAGAAAGACAGGCGTGACTTCATTTTACTTAGTTTTTGTGTATTTCCATTTTAACTTACAATTACACATTTGTGCTTAACTTGGACTACTGGGAGATGTCAGGAGGGCCTTCTTCCCACTGACATCGAAGCTAATGAACCTCTACTGTGAAATCATATTATGTCTCCAAGAGAGAAAGAAGTTGCTGGTCCACCTGCTGTTATATATTTATTCATCTGGAGCTCAATACATATCGGAAGCATACATGTTAATAATGCATGTAATTTTTCAACTCCATATTTAATTATTTTGGGTAGTGTTTCGTTCATACCTTATTCTGTCTGAATACCAACTATAAATTCTTGTGCATCTTGCAGAAGAATTTTCAGTAATTGGAACTGCCATCACGAAATCACTTCGGAGCTTGTCAAAGTTCGTGATGACCATACATTGAAGAAACAAAATGTCTTCTTAATCTATTATATTAATAAAACTAACTAATTATTATTCTACTGATTCTAATATTAGAACTCATACCATGCAGTCATCATCATCATCATCATCATCATCATCATCATCACTGTCATTGTCATGTTGAGTGGATTATGTTACAAAATTACTGCATACATGAATTGATGTAAAATTCAGAACACAACAACACAGCAATTTACAGTTTTTGGCCTCCATCATGTCTGAAGGTGGAAAAGTAGTCTGCATTTTTCGAAAAGTCTTTTAATGTGAAGTTTATTTGCCATATGGTTAAGACTGTTGCTTATCATTTGCATCTTCTTAATAGATACAACATGACAGATAACATTCCCAATTATAAAATATTATATTGCGTATCCCACTGAACATGAAACATCAGTGTTCATAAAAATATGGTGGAAGTGTCCTCCATTATTCTGGATATGTGTCACTCCTCTTGACCTTGTTGCAAGAGGCACATGTAACAATTTTCATTTTGATGTTTGCTATAAGGCTGACAACCTTACTGCCATCTTTGAGCCAATGGTCTAGATAATGTGGAACCCTCAACATCTCACAACCCTATGGGCCTTCATGGCCTGTTACAGGGATAGCTTTACTTTTTTACTTTTTTTTTTACTTACTATTCACTTCCAGTTGCTGTGTGTGTCTTGGGTTGTTTTGGTACACCGGTGTTTTAGGAATACTCTGCAGATAAAATCAGAAGCTATCAGATCGAGGATTTTAGGTGGCTACAGTCCCTTTCAAATGATCCTGTCTCCATCAGCCTGTCCATTCTTGTCATGGTCATATGACACATTTGTGCCACCCTGCTAAATGTAGCGTTCTCTTTCCTGAAGTTGTACTAGGAAACAGAACTGCATAATTATCTTTGCTGCATCACTTGTATGCTAAGTAGAATCTGTGTTACTGTGTTGCAGTTTCAAATGGATAATCCAATACAAATTATTACAAAGACGTTTTTATAATGCCATATACAGACTTTTGCATGCACACACGTGTGTTTGTGTGTGTGTGTGTGTATTTAACATCAACATTTTAGCCTGTCGGGAATTTCTTTAACTAATGGAGTGTACAATTCCAGGAGATGAAATGTAGTAAGGTGAGATTTGAGGTTCTCATAGTGGTCACTATGAAGAGTGCTCTCTTCTGGGATGTGATGCTATGTAGTATAGTAGGTTAATAAAGGTAATGCTGTAATGCTCCCCTGGAACAGGCCATGGAGGCCCATAGGGTTGTGAGATGTCGAAGGTCCCATATTTTGTCTGGACAGTTGGCTCACAGATGGTGGTAAGGTTGTCAGCCTTACGTGCCGGCTGCCCTTTAAACCCAGGAAGATTCCTGGTATTCAATTCTGTTAGAGGCTGAGTCGACCCCAGGGCCATAGTGTGACTGGAAGAATTAGGTCAATTGAAAAATCCAGTGACCTCATTGGGAATAGAACCTGCGGCCTTCCATCTTCCGGCACAGTGCCTCAACCAACTACTCTACTGCGTTCCCCCGCATGTAGTATAGTAAAAGTTTAATAATGTTTCGAAGGAACTTCCTGCTTCCATCTTCAGAATAAAGAGCAAGTAGAGCAAACAAGCAAGCAAGCGGCAATTTCAGAGGATAGTACTCTACAGATGTAGCATTAACTACCATCCCATTTGTCAGGTGAATAGTACAATAACACTAGACAGAAGAAAGATATATCTCAAGCATTAAACAAAAATTAGCGATAATGACTTAATTTTTATGAGGTTTGAGAGTAGATTTCTTGATACCAGCATCATTTGTATACAGCAGCGGTTCTGAACCGGGGGTCCATAAACCCCTACGGGTGTACCTGAAACCTCGCCCGGGGTATGGGACGTATTTTGTTTTACAAAGTCAGAATGCTTGCAGGCACTGTTCGCAATAAATGACAGTTATTATAAGTTGGAATACAACCTAAACAGTGACGTTTGCAACTATGTACTGGATGAATAGTGTGAATAAACACGATCCTTGCATTCAGGCTTGCGACTAGGAGCAGCCAGCAGGCGTGCCGTGAAGTTGTCGGCATACTTCAGCATTAGTTGCTTCAATAGAGTGAAGCGTGATTTACGTACTGTCGTGTATCATATATTGTGCTGTTGGTGGTGGTGTTTTTTCTTCCATACAGCGTAGGCTTCACATACCGCTGTTCTTTTTTTTTTTTTATTCTGGTTAGTATGTTTAAACTATTATGCGGTTTCTTGATTTTATAATAAGCAAAACTTATGTAAGTAAGTAAAGCTATCCCTGTACCAAGCCGTGAAGGCCCATAGGGTTGTGAGACGTTGAGGGTCCCACATTATCTAGAAAATGGGCTCACAGATGGTGGTGAGGTTGTCAGCCTTACGCGCCGGCCGGACGCCAGAGATTCCTGGTACTCATTTCTGTTGGAGGCTGAGCCGACCCTAGGGCCATAGTGCGGTTGGAAGGATTAGGTAAATTGAAAAAATCCAATGACCTCATCGGGACTTGAACCCGCGACCTTCCGGCTTGTAGCATAGCCCCTCAATCAACTATGCTACCGCGTGCTTATGTATGACCTTTAATTGTTAAAAACTAGTAGAAGCTGGTATGTATTTGAAATTGGTGATAATATTATATTAGTTAGAGCAGATAAGACTTAAACAGTTGTCAGCCTGTATGTCTGTTTTTTTTTTCCTTGGCACTACAGCCCCAGTGGCCCTAGGCCTATCTCCATGAACTTCTCCGTTCATTTAGGGTTTTCTTGATCTTACACATTCGGTAGGACTCCTTGGGCGGGTGATCAGTTCGTCGCAAGGCCTCTAACTGTAGACAAACACAGAAAAATGGACACACAAACTAA